CATGAGGAACTTCTTTTTTTCTGTTTTTTGTTTTCCATAATTTTATTGAGAAACAAATAGCAATGAGACAGTTTCAAACCAAACTGGTAGGGCAGTTTCAATGATTGCCACATTGCATACATTCTTCCTAGTGGTTAATTGCTGTACAAGAAGAACATGAGGAACTTCTTTCAAGAATACATATATTACTGAAATATTAGCTTGGACTAGCTAATGGCAATGAGAAAAAGATGAATGGAAAGAAGTAGACAACTTCAGGTTATGTTTAACTACATTCTGCTGGCCATAGTGGCATACAACTATAAGAACTTGGAAGACTGAGGCAGGATTGTCCTGAGTTTGAGGCCAGACTGGGCAACACAGTCAGTTCAAGGCCAAACTGAACTACATGGCAAAACCCTGTCTCAAAACAAAATAAAACTTAAAAGAAAAAATAAATTAAAAAAAAAAGGTAGATTCAAAAGCACTTAATATTGACTCAATGTCAGAACACAAGAAAGAACAAGGTAAAGGATGCTCAAATCTCTAGCAAGAGCACATCTCATATCTTAGTCTCCAGCCATACTAAATTACTAATAGTTTTCTAAACCTCTATGCTTCTTTTAAGCTCTCCTTCCTTAGTGTAGAAATGTCCTTATATTTCAGCTGCAAAATGCTACCTCCTCACCCCAGCCTTCCCAAAGGTTGCCAGATCAGGTACTCTGCCTGTTCCAACAACTGTTTGTGCTTCCCTCTGTCATAGCACTTGCCTCACTACACTGCAGTTAGATACAATCATGCATTGCTTAACTGTGAGCATTTGTTCCCAGAAGTCCACTGGTAGGCAATTTCATTATTATGCAAACAACAGCCTATACTCACTGGAAACACAGACAGTGTCAATGTAAGTAGGCAACACAATCATATGCAGCTACCATACCATAACATACGTGGTCAGTCACTGACTGAAATGCTATATGGCACATGACTGCATTTGTTTGTTTTCTCCACATGACCAAGTATTGCTGGGGTTAAAGACTGTGTTTGGTTGTTTTAATCTTTGTACTTTTGACACTTACCTCTTATCAATTCATGTGTTTTTGGAATAGAAGAAAAAAGTTAGCTGGGCATGGTGGCTAATGCTTAGAATACAGCACTATGGGAGGTTGAGGCAGAAAATCTGCAAATTCAAGTCCAGCCTAAGCATTGTCTCAAAAAACTGTCTCAAAAAAATAGAAGTTACTGGGCAGGCAGCTCAGTATGAAGGCCCCAATTTCAGATCCCTAGCACCAGAGAAAAAGAAAAGAAAAAAGAGCTCAGTAGTTTGGGCTTATTGCAAGAAAAAAGTATAGAAGCTGACTAGGGAAAGCAAGTAGAAACAGTAATGTGATTTCATTACTGGATAAAAGAAAGGTATACAACTATAGACTTCTTTTTCAAGTACTGGCAGTCTACAAATGAAAACTCTAACTTATAGATGGAAATTTAAAAGAAATAAAGGAAAAAAAGTTCTTCCAAGATGATATATAGGCTAAAAAATATATAAACAGTTTCATAAATAGTTTAGAAAATGAACTAGCATATTGGACCTGATATATGTCTGCAATTACTTTGAATTTTTTTTTACTAGGAATATATCCATATATTATTTGAATAATCAAAATAATAAAACTAATGGTGTCAGTACTAGTTCACAAGCTAAAAATTCCTTTCAAGGACCAGTGGTATAGCTCAGCCGACTAAGCACTTGCTTAGCTAAGCGCAGGGGCCAGGGTTCAATCCTTGGCTCCGCATGCCGCGCCGACCCCACCTCCGGGTGTGCTGAGCCAACAATAGAGTTTGGGCATGGTGGCGCATGCCTGTAATCCCAGCACTTGGGAGGCAGAAATCAGGAGGATCGCTACTAATATGGGCTATGTAGTAAGACCCTGAACAAAACTAAATAAATAAATAAAAATAAAAAAATAAAAATTCCTTTCATAGCCTTCTATGTGGCTTACACATGTAATTCCAACACTTTGGGAGGCTGAGACAGGAGGATTCAGTTTTAACCTAGCATGGACAACTCAGCAAAGTAACAAGATTCTATCTCAAAATAAAAAAGCCAGGCATGGGGGCACACACCTGTAATCCCAGCACTTGGGAAGTTGAGGCAGGAGGATCACAGGGAGTTCAAGGCCAGCCGGAACTACATGGCAAGACCATGTCTCACAACAGAGAGAGAGAGAGAGAGAGAGAGAGAGAGAGAGAGAGAGAGAGAGAGAGAG